GGGCGGCCGTTAGATCACTTGTGATTACAACAAAGGCACTACTGCTCGAGGGGCTCAGGGCTTACCTGATAGCGAAGGAAAGGAAGCATGCCACAGAAGCTGCGATAAAGGAGATATTCGTCGGCTGTTGGCTAGTTTATCGGCCTGCTCAATAATCAATCCTCCGCGAGTCCGCTGGCGCTTGCTAAATGAAATATATATATTTATATGAAATATATATATATTTCATTTAGCATGAGATGATAAAGCAGAATCGCAGTTCTTTTCGGGTCAGCCTGCCCTACAACCAGTGCGGAAAAAATGCACGCGGGGAATCGCACGAACGAACACTGTTATGCTTTCGGCCTGCTGGCGGCTAAGAACGGTAAGGACAAAAAAAATAGATATATTTTTACGCATGGAAGCAGATTACCCAAATTAATGGGGACAGAGAACTAAACGACATCTCAAGCGCTATAGCTCACAGGTGATATCGGCGAGATCCAACCGTACACTATGGTCCGAGTTGGAAGTCAGAGGACCCATAGTACCTGCCTAATCCTAAAAGAACCGTGTAAACGGCAAACTTGCGGATTGAGTAAAAGGCGAAGGGGTCTATGCACCTGCCTAGTCTGGCAGGTTTTACTCTCCAAAACTCAAAAAAGAAACGGCAAATATATCTATCTATTTTTTGTCGCGCCCTATTAACATCAAGATGTTAATACATTATATATGATGATACATCCAGTGCCATCGATAATCCGATCAGTAGGGCAGGCACCCAACGAGCCGCAGTCAATGGAGCCCGTCTCCTATGAGTTGGATCAGGAGAGTTAGTGAGCCGTATGATGGGAGACTATCACGTACGGTTCGGAGAGCACTTAGTAGGCAGGCCGTAGGTCATCACTTCCTACCGAAGTTTGACTCTATCCAGTATGGTTTTTTTTAGTATTCTTTTTCTGAAAATAGGCGATCTTAACCTTACTTCTTATTATCTTTACCGATACGCTTTTTCCTTCACTTTCTATTTCCATTGGTTGATTTCAAGCGTAGTCAATTTCAGTTTATTGGCCTTATGTTATCATATGAGTAATGGAATTCGTCATTTATTGTGGGATCTAGGTTTTTTTCTAGAATTATCCAAAGTATATACTTCCGGAATTATTATGTTATTCTGTGCAGCTTTTTTAGCTGTATCGAATATTATCCGATTCTATTTCTCATAAGCACGAAATACGATAACCCCGAAAAGTATATATATACCTTTTTTTCCCTGATAGCTCAGCGGTGCCCCGGAATCGGGCCTACTTTATCTCGCGAAGGCTTAACTAAGACGAGACTACAACCTGTTCCAGTACTATTTCGGCCGACAGGATACTTTCTAGATAGGCGGAGCCGTATGACGGACAATTATCACATACGCTTCTATAAGAAGGGGCCGGACCAAAAAGGCCGGTTTCCTTTTACTTTCAAAAAAAAGGTGAAAAGCAATGAAAGCTCATAGAGAAACCTTGGGGCATTGGCTTCTTCAAAGAATGACTGCCGCTTCTCTAATTCCAACCATTCTTATATCAAATGTTTCCACTTTGATTCTGTTAAATATTTTGTTATTCTGGCATATTCATGTGGGAATCGAAGAAATTCTGACAGATTATGTTCACCATGAAATAACACGAAATTGGATCTTGATTCTTTTCAGAGTATTTTGTTTAATAATTATCAAATATGTTTTTTTGTTTTTTGTTTTTTAAAAAACTTTATAATCATCTGAAGATTCAGATAGTGCTATAAAGCAAAAATAAGCGCGGAAAGCGCAGCAAAAAAAATATATATATATACTTTTTTTCTGGTGCTAGTAGAGGCCGTGTCATAAATGGAGTTAGTAAGTAATTAAATACTAATGATGGTTTTTTTCATTGTCCTCTATGTGCTTGTTCTGGTTCATATCGCCCTTGCCATAAAAAAAGGGCAAAGCAGTACTTATTGGCTAAGGAAGCGGCATGTACTTGGCTTGAAACCGGGTTGGCTTTCAAAAAAGAGACTCTTATTATGGATCTAGTAAAATATTTAACATTTTCTATGATTCTTTTTCTTTTAGGTATTTGGGGGATTTTCTTGAATAGAAAAAACATCCTTATTATGTTAATGTCAATTGAGTTAATGTTACTTGCAGTCGATTTAAACTTTTTGGTATTTTCGGTTTATTTGGATGATATGATGGGTCAATTATTTGCTTTATTTGTTTTAACGGTGGCAGCAGCGGAATCCGCTATTGGGCTGGCCATTCTGGTTATAACTTTTCGAATTCGTGGGACTATTGCAGTGGAATTTAGGGCGACCGTTCGCGTCGCCTACAGTCATTGTTTAACCATATGGAAATTATTCGCAGTTTTGCGCTAGCTGCCATATAGCAAACCACGCGAGACCCTATTCCGCGTGCCAGGCATAGAGCTTACCCAACCACCGTGTAAACGGGTGGGAACCACAGCATGCTCTAGAAACGTAGTTGGAAAAAAAACAAGCAAGATCCCAGGGTATGTCTTTTAGGCTTTCAACTTGCTTTTTTGCTATCCCATAAAGCGCAAAAGCGCCCGAAAGACCACAGGCGGCGTAATACGTTTGACCTGCGATCTACTTCTTTACTTAGCCAATAACCTGAAGGTTCACAAAGCAAACGAATGATTCTAGCCCAAACAACCCAAGACCACTACGCTAGCCTGCTCTTGTATGAGATGAGCCCCTGCTCTGGCAAATCGAAGTCTCTTTCGGTCAAACTGGACCTGCAGTTAATCACAAGGAACTCCTTGTGGTAATGCACATGAGTGCGCGCTGTCAAGCTCTCAGTCTGCCATCGATAAATTATGGTAAGACCAGAATGGAAAAAGAAACCCTGCATGGAAAAAGAAACCCTGCGGGCCGATATTACAGAGCCCGCACCAGGGAGCAGATTACCCAAATTAATGGGGACAAAAGACTAAACGACATCTCGACACAAAATGGCCTTGAATTAAACTTAGCCAAGAACTGTAGGCAACACCGGTGAAATCCACTTCAGTCAGCTGGACCAAAGTGGATGGCAGAGGGCCCATAGTACCCGCTTCAGCCATACGTAGTACAAAGTAAAACTGCTAACAAAAGGGAAAGGGCCTAACCGTCTGCTGTACCTTAGCAGACTATATTCAACCGCAAAGAAAGAAAAAAGCAATCATAATTTAGATAATTAATTCATGAGATACCCGTCGCAAAGCTAGGGAAACCTATTCAGATCTGCAAAACATCGTGGGCAACCTGGACTTATGAATAATGCCTTATGTCCAACGAGGGCAGCGGGACCTGAATCGATGACACCAATATCAGACAGAAGGAGACCATTGACAGGGATATACTAAAAATCATACTGTCTTCAATGCCAGCTGGCGTGGCGTCCTTGTCAAAAGCCCTACCTTGACTATCTAAAATTCGTTTCATACGTTCGAAACTGCAGAGTAAATTCTGCTATCAAGGATCCTATGGCATAACTTGCTTGATGATTAAAAGGCTGCGTAACTGCTCTTCGTGCTTCCTTCATGATATTGTAAATCTGAATAGAATGCACCATGTTCGGAGTATTAAGGACGAGCTCAGAGGAGATAATGAAAATGCATTTTTTTTTATGTTATTATTTCTTGCTGGAATTCCCCATGATCACTATAGTGAAAAAGCAAGTCGCTTTATGGTACTTAAGCCACTGGCGAGGTCGGTCACTAGAAAAACAAGCCAAAATCTAACGACAAAGGCAAATCCGAATAGAGGTTGAATTGGAGAGCCGTATGATGGGCGACTATCTCGTACGGTTCGGAGAGGGCTCGAATACCAAAACATTCAATATGTTTCTGAGAAAGTTCCACTCTATTTAATTGCATGAAGGGATAAGCACAAAAACAAGTGCTTCGTCTCTATTCTTCAAATACGGAGTATATGGGAGAGGCAGGATTCGAACCTACGTAGAAAACCTTCAACAGATTTACAGTCTGTCGCTTTTAACCACTCGGCCACTCTCCCCCAAAATAAATAAAAAATTCTTTATTTAGAAATCGGTCAATCCGCGCGTGTATGTATGTATGGTATGTAACCTTTAATGGGTTTAAACTAATCGATAGATGCATGTACCCTTGGTATATATTATTTATTCATTCATTATGCACTTTCTTTAAGCATCCTACAGGATTTGAACCTGTGACCTTCAACTTAGAAGGTTGTTGCTCTATCCAACTGAGCTAAGAATGCACTAACCTTCATTCGTGAACTACAAAGAAAGAAGCTAAAGAAAGAAAAAAGCTATCTTCGTATAACAAATAAAGGGCGCGCAGCGTAGAAATAGCGCCAGAAATAAAAGTCATACATGAAGCAAAAAAAAATATGATTTAGCCATAGATTCCCGTGGCTATATGCGCGCTATGCCATGCCTTTTACTCGATTAAAAAAGCTCGGCTGTAATAGGGTTTTAGTACATAGTAATTGCATTATGATGAATGAGTACCCTCAAATGTAGTAAAATTCTAGGGGCGAACCCTGAACTACTAATGAAATAAAAATAAAATATTGGTAGGGCCTTACGATTGATTGCACACTTTGCCGGGCGCAGTAAAAGCCAACCCAACGTTTTTTTCGTTCTTATTAGGTTTAACACACAATGAAATATCATGAATTTTTTATTTAAAACTATTCTGAAAGAAGTTAGAATTCGTTTTTTTTGGATATTTATTTGCTTCAGTTTAACATGGTTTACGTGTTATTGGTTTTCAGAAGATTTGTTTTTTTCGTCAGCGAAATCCTTTCTTATTCTTTCTTATTCAGGTTTTATTTGTACACAATTAACGGAGGCCTTAAGCACGTATGTTACTATTTCTTTAATATCATGCTTTTACTTTTTATTTCCTTTCTTAAGTTATCAAATTTGGTGTTTTTTGATTCCTAGTTGCTATGAAGAACAAAGAAAAAAATACAACAAATTCTTTTACTTAAGTGGTTTTTGCTTCTTCCTGTTTTTTTTTGTCACTTTTGTTGGGGTAGTTCCCAATGTTTGGCACTTTTTATACGAATTGAATAAAACATCAACTAATCTACTTATAATAAAGTTACAACCTAAGATTTTTGACTATATTTTATTAACTGTTCGTATTTTGTTTATTTCATCAATATGCTCTCAAGTACAGGTACTTGTGATCTTTTTGCTAGAATCAAAAGGGATTTTTGTGAAAAGCTGCATAAAAAATCGTCGTTTTTTTATGGTTCTTTCAATTTTTACAGCAGCTTTTTTAACACCTCCAGATATCTGGTGTCAAATTGTCGCTTGTTTACTTATTTATTGTATAATAGAGTTGACCATTTTTTACGCATTGATTATACAAGTTTATAAGAAGCAACTAGTCCTTTAACCGAAATTGGGCCATGGCCAGGAACCAGGCCGCGGGGCGCAACAAAAAACAAAAATATATCTATATTTTTTTTGATCTTTGGCCTAATTTTGCTTGCTGCTATGCATCAAGCTTTAACCATCTATCTATTCCCTCCCGGCTACCTTTTTTTTTCTTTTTTGCTGATGCTGGGAGAGGACGCGCAGAAGCCCAATAGCTTTTGTTCGCGCTGCCCTCCCCCACCCTAGATGCTTTATAGTTGATTTGGATCCGGCCAAGCAGAGCAAAGCGACCATGACGACGCCATCAAGCCACAAATAAGCGCTTCGCCAAAATGGAGCTGCGACGCCCACTATGCCATAGTCTTCGCCAATTCAATATGATATGAGACCAGGCTCGCTTATAGCTGTTACAAAGCTAGCCAGGGCGCAGTAAACAAAAGTATTTTTCACTCCACACTACAAAGCGGACTTAATTCCCCGCTTATTTTCCCGTCTTTAGCCTCGAAGACACAGAAAGATAATACGAGGCCGATAAAAAAAAAGCGCGTAGAGCATAAAACGAAGGCTCCGTCTGCCCGGGCATACGAGCTTTACTTTCTTTTTTTGCGCAACCGTAGTATTGTCTTTATGTCTATGGCAAAAAGACAAAAGTGGTTCAAAAAAATCAAAAAATTCCTGGAATATATATTTTTTTCACCATCTACGAGAGATTAACTCTGTTATCGCTCTGCCAATAAATAATTTACATACGTTCCTGCTTTAATCAAGAAGGTCTAGATCTATGCTATAAGGGAATTGTATTTGTTGAGGTTCATATAATACCACGGCTTTTAGTGTTTTATAATTAACCTCTAAATGAGTAGGTTTTATTCTCCATATTCGGTTACTCTGAAAATTTTGTCTTATTTTGGATCTAATGAAATATATAAAATTATCTTGAATAGATATAAGATCACCGTTAGATAATTGAAAACCAGGAATATTGACCATTTTATAATTGACACAAATTTTTTTATGACTTATTAGCTGCCTTGCTTGAAAAATAGTTAAACAGAAATTAAGACGAACCAGAATAACGTCTAATCTTCGTTCTATATCGAATAACAAACTATTTTTTTTATCTAGATAAGTCTGCGTTTTAGACCTTTGCATCTTTTTAATGGGTAATTTTCCATAAAAAAGGGACAACTTTTGTATAGTTTGTAATTCTTTGGAAAAGTCAGATTGTTTTTTATTTGTTTTTTTTCGAAGCTTCAAAATAATGGCTTTTTGTTTTTGAGTAAGTTTTTTGGTCTGCCAAACATTTTCTGAAATTTGACGACAAGTTTTAAATCTTGATGCAGGCATATGAAGTTTAATTAGTTTTTTTAGCCATTGCGGATAACGGGAATCGAACCCATATCTCCTGCTTGGAAGGCAGATAATTTACCTTTAATCTATATCCGCCTAAAATTTTCTTTCATCTCTTCTCGCTTTTTTCTCTAAATTTTCATTTACATAGCAAATTAATATTAGGTTGATTATTGGTTCCTTTGAGCCAATAATCTTATTAAGATAAGGATGGATGTCTGAGCGGTTGAAAGAGTCGGTCTTGAAAACCGAAGTATTGAGAATACCGGGGGTTCGAATCCCTCTCCATCCGTAAGTAGGGTAATTAGTTAACTATTTTTAAAACAAAATAGCATGTAACCTTTGCAGATCTTAACATTGTGTAATCATTTTGCAGAATCAGGCAAAAAACAAGATATTCTCTTTATGAAAAAAAATATATAATCATTATTTATGATGATTCATTCAAGAAGAAGTAATGATCTTCAGCCGGTGGCTCTGTGTTTGGTAGCCAAAATAAGGCAGTACCCTGAATAGCTTGAGGAGATTTTGACTCTGCGTGCGGGACAGCGCATATCGTGCCGTGACTTAGCTCGAGGCGCAACAAACACTGAGCCATGTCGCAAAAGGCGCCACGGTGCGCTGGACCGAAATATATAGATGTCATAATCTGTATAGTATTGGGTAAATCAAAAATTTGCGTGTTTTTGTACATCGCGCACCCAACCACAATATAACAAAGACAACAATAAGAAATAACATAATAAAATTGTAAGCAAATCTAGTTTAGTTTATTTTTACAGTGATGAACTATGAAAAATATTTATCTACAGGCACGATTCAGAAACCATAAAACACAACCTAACCTACAGGGCTAGGCCAAATATGTATGATGGTGTAAGTTCAATTCTAATTCGACGAGAGGGCCTTTGACCCATTCATGTGACTGTGATTATTGATCGGCGATAAAAAATCCGGCATGGCCCTGGAGCTAGCAGCCGAAATGGTATTGAGGCCATGAAAAGGGTCTAATAACTGGAGAAAAAAGAAAAAAATTTCCACAGATTGAATCAAATTTTGGCGGATATGATGGAATTGGTAGACATGCCAGGTTTAGGTTCTGGTGACTATAATGTTTGTGGGGGTTCGAGTCCCTCTATCCGTACAAGTCGGAACTTCAAGTTCTGCGATCACTAGGCCTCTAGTCGTTCGGCTAGCCTACTATCTAATTACTGTTTCTCAGTTAATACTGCTTTTCGAGATAGTATGCCACCAGCTATGGTAGATTGTTGAGCTGCACCCGGCATATTCAACTAATGGAAGTTGAGTCACAAACGAATTTACGCGCAGGTCAACCAAATAGAAATGAAGAATAAAGATGCCCGATCCACAGTAAGCGCCAAGTATGACGATATTATGAAGTGATGACGATAAAATAACATAATGAGTCCACGCTTTTTTCTAGGTAATATAAGCTTAAAGCTAACCCTAAACTCTGCCTTTATCGCAAACCATAAGGCTATGACGAGAATTTTCAGAAACTGATCTTTCCCTAAATTATGATTATTACCCGCGGAAGTTACGAGGCTCCAGAAACAAATATTTGTTTAGCATTATTATTAATATCAAATATATCAGATATATTTGATATTAATAATAATCTTTTTCTAATCCTAACCTACTTGTGCGGGAGGGACCGCAGTGATCGCACTATCCTCTAATCACCGCGGTTATTTTTGTGTATTTAACGCCTAAAAAAAAGCAGGCTTAGTAATTTCGAGTGGTTAGGTTTAAGACCCATATCAAGATTAAGCGTAACCAGATTGCTGGATCTATAAATATAGATCCCTATGATGGATGTTTTGAATTTTTTTATTAAAGATTTACGGCTGCGGCCTTCACCCAAATTCATAGACATCTTTAGAACAAACAAACAACATTTGACAAAAAAAAAGGTATAACTACTCTACTATTAGGAAATTTAGTATTATATCATAAATTTGTGAATCAATGGGTCTTTCACCTCGCATAGTATTTGTACTCTCGCTTCGCGGATCGAACACGAGTCGTGAACTGTTTTTAAGAATTGTAAGAGAAGCCATGCTGCTTGATTGGCAAAAAAATAATATACGTTTATTCATAAGAAGTGTGCTCAATTCATAAATCAGATTATAAACTAGTGCTCTATTTACTACGTATGCATAAGAGAACAGCTCAGGCTTAAAAAAGTTATAGGTCCTTCATTCACGATATAGATGAATAATTCGATTATTAAAAAATATTGTATATTGTAGGAGAACATAAGCAAATTAACCGCCCCTACGTCGTTCTGTTATGAGCCATTGGCAGAATGGAAAGTGATTTCGTTTTTGTTTTAGGTGGGTGCGTAGCACTTTAGTTACAAGCTTTAAAAAAAGGCCGTAGGTAGAGTTCTTGGAGTATAGCCAAGTGGAAAGGCTTCGGTTTTTGATACCGACAGGCAAAGGTTCGAATCCTTTTACTCCAGATTTATGTAATTTTCAATCTCAATATATATATATTTTTTTTTCAATTCCAATCCAATCTATATAAAGCCAGCTGACGTAGAAAACTACGCAAGCCTCCCAATGAAGCCAGAATAAACCCTATCCAAATACAGAAAATGAAAGGTAGTTTCATTATGGTAATATACCAGCCTGTTTCAAAACTTCCAGTTCCAATTAAAGCATATAGATCCGTAAAAAGATTACTATGTATAGCCACTTTGGTAGTGCTTGTTTCTTGATTAGAAAAAGAAAATCTTTTTTCTGGGAACACAGTCAACCAAAGTGGGAAACTATGATGTTCGCGATTTCTCCATGATCTGTCACCATGGAAAAAAGTTGAAAAAAAATATATATATTTTTTTTCAACTTTTTCAGTCTGGTACGAAGGCGCTGCAATTGGCAACAAGTCGATTATGGCACGAAGTGATTCATCATGATCCAAAATGAATGGATTTTTTAAGGACGGTTTATAAATAATCAAATTACCACAAATGGAATGAAAGGTGGGTCCATGTAATTGATCAATACCTCGCAAACAACAATGCTCTCTTCCTATATGTAGTTCAGAACCTAAAGGCAATAATTGAGTAAACTGTCTCTTTTTTGTGTTGGTTAACCTAAGCCACAGCATCACTGCAGGGGCTTGGCTTCCGAACCGTACGTGAGCCTACGGCCTCATACGGCTCTTCTCAGGGGGAACCTGAAAACCGAATAATAAATAATAAAGCGGAGATTTACATGGCATTCGCCTAAAAATCTTTTTTTTCTGTTCATTCTGCTCATACGAACTCTTCACCATTCGTTATGCTGCGCCCTGAGTCCCCGCGTCGGCCTTTTCTTCGAGATTTACTTCACTAACGCGAGCAAAGTGAGCGTTTGCCTCGAAGGTTTTGTCTTTTCGGGAGAATCCTGTTCCCACTAGCTTACGGCCCGGCTGGCCTGCCAGTTTTACTGGAACTTAATGGGAATTATCCCGTTCCCTGGTTAGATTTTTGGATGTGAGATTTACTCCACGAGGAACAGTACGAACGTAGATGATATCATCCATCACGACCTCTCTTTCCGTATCGCTAGGAATGCTTAACGCCATTTCGCCAACTAGCGTTACCCGCGGCCTTTCTTGCCATTGGCAAGTCTCTCAGTGTGGTCAATACTGGGTGTTTTTGAGCAGCGAAGCTTATACTCATTCACATTAAGTTCATCCTAAGTCCTGGAACCTTTTGCACTAATTTGGGAAGAAGCCGTCTTCCCATCAAGGTTCAAGAGTCGACTGAGCATCTCAGCGGCGGGATTTAGAACCCGAATTCAACCAGAGTTCACGCCATGTGGGCGTGAGCTTAAACACGAGATGGTCGCGCATAAGCTGCCGGGTCGCACGACAAAATAACACCCATAATAAAGATGCAAACTCCTCCATGTGAAATTTTCATAGTCATGGGAACTTTTCGAAAGTCATGACCAACATCCATCAGTCTTTTTGGTAAGGCGCGAACAAGAAAAAATCTATTCCAACTATTTTCAGGGACGGAAGAATAAGCTTGCGAAAAAGCAAGCAGAGAATAAAAAGCCAAAATTTTGGCTTTTTCGTTGAAGCCGAAGGTTTTTGAAAATTGCAGCAAATAAATCAAAAATATTTTTGATTTATTTGAAAGAAATAAAAATGCATTTTCTTTCTTTTTATTTCTTTGTTTCTTTTTTTCGTTAGGCCAACAAAGCGCTTGGCGCTTTCTTCTCTGTGCCCGCTTACGCGCTTTTCTTTTTTTTTCTATTCCAAGCCTAGGCTCCTTGTTTGCCCACGTATCGCGCCTATATTTAGATGATAAGAAAAACGTACAAAATAATAAAAAACAAAGCACACCACAGAAAGATTCTAAATATGACAAGTCTCCCATAAATTTGAAAATAAAAAAATTGAAAATGAAAATAAAAAAGAAAAAAAATGCATTTTTAGCTCTAGTTTTTGGGGAGCTTTTTTCAATTATGTTGGGTAATAAAATGGGTCTTGCTCTTACCAAAACTATCCTTTCTGTTTTGTCCATAGAGCGTATGAATCCCCTGGAATGTACATAAACTAAAAGCAATGATAAAGAGGTAAAAATAGGTATTATAGTACCATGAGAAAAAGGAGCACCTGTGGGAACATCTCTACTTACCAACCATTGAAATAGTATGGGTGCTGCCGTACCACAAAGCACAACCATAAAGATAAGAAAAAAAAAAAAGTTCTGTAGTTGGACCATCTGCTCTATTTGTTTTTAGGATTTTGCTTTTCCGAATAAGAGAATACAAGATAAAAAAACTCAAAATTGAAACAAAAAAATAATTCATTTTTTGGCTTTATTTTATCTTCTTCGGCCTTCGGCGAAGGCTTTGCACCCCCCCGGTACGCTACCTCCGTAGCCATAGCTGCTGGAAGGCACGGAGCCTTCGCATAGCAAATGAAAAAAAGCCAAAGGTTTCACTTTCACTGTGTGGATTCGAAATTAAGCTAGCTTTTTATCTCTTTGACCCGAGAAAAAGAGCTTTTTTTATTTATGTATTTTACTTGCTTTGTATACAATTAGTTTGTCATGGCCTTCTTCGTCCTCTATTAGCTTTGATAGACGAGTAAATTTACGCAAGTGCACGAATAGAGTGCTTCGCCGCGAATACCATAAGATCTGGTTTACGGGTTTTTGGGCCCTCAGGCCTTGGTTCGATGGTAAATCAGATAATGCACCAACTAGCCTGGTACTTGATTGCTGCTTCATTTGAAAAAAAAACATCAAAGATATGCTAGTAATTAAGACGAAAAAAAACCATAAAAAGATTCCTCGTGTAGAATCTGTAGCAAAACTATGAACGGAAGCTAGCAATCCAGAACGTACGAAAAAAGTTCCTAAAACACAACATAGAAAAGTAAGCATATTAAGAAACAAAGTCCAATAATTCAATTTAGGTAAAATTACTGAATGAATACAAGCTGTAGCTAATAGCCAAGGCATAAAAGAAGCATTTTCTACAGGATCCCAAAACCACCAACCACCCCAACCTAATTCATGATAAGCCCACCAACTTCCTAGCAATATGCCTACAGTTAAAAAACACCAGCATGTCAGAATCCAAATTTGAATTTGTTTCCACCCATGGTATTGTGGGCCAGAGACCACTTTATTCGCGCTGCGGGTCCAACCAAAATGTAAAACCGCAGTATTCGCTTTACGAACAACACGCTTCGTCCACTGGCTCTTCGTGAGATTCAGCCGCTCTTTCGACCAAAGCGAAGAAAGCGACACCAAGTGCCGAAGCCCGAGCAGGCTCCTATTGCTACGCAAGATGAAAGCAAAACTGGGATGGAGAGAACTGGTATTTTCAAATATATTTTTTATAGTTTTTTTTGCATTCTCCTGGGTAATCAGCTTATTTGTTATGCGAGAGAAAGCATTAAACATTTCGGCCTTGCTTTCCCTTCGTATTGGCAAATAGAGTACAGAGATACCATTCATTATTTTGGCTAGACATAAGCAAAAACCAATAGCACTGGCGACATATCCTGCATAAATGCAGGGAGGATGTATAGCTAATATAGGATCTTGTAAAACAGGATTTAATTCTGCAAGTGATTTAGTACAAACAAATGAAATTCGAACAAAAGGATTGGAACTTGCTAATAAAAAAATCGAAAAAAATAAAGCAATGCCCATATAAATTCGCCGTTCATCAATAAAGGAAACTTTATCATTTGCATTCTGTGCCAAAAATAAAGAATCTAAATTGTTACATAAAGCGTAAAGCTCTTTCCATTTTTTAAGCCTTATGGGCCTTTTATTGTCTCTCGCATTTACACCATTTTCTAACCTTTTATCTGAGGGCTCTTGAACGATACCTGAGGGCGCCGCTTTGGATTGGCTCTTGAGGGAGCTTTTACGATTTATGGTACCAAACAGGTTCTGCAATAAATGATGTCTGAATTGTTTATTCTCTTTCTTTATGAAGCAAGCAAAGCGAAAAGCCACAAGCGGTCTGCGAAAAAAAAATATATTTTTGCTGCGCCCTCGTTTTGAAACATTGCAGGGTCGAACCCGATGACCCAAAAAAAATCCATAGAAACTTAGGATCCAACACCATAATAACAAACTACCCTCATGATTAGACCATGTTCCTGATATTTTATAAAATAAAGGCGCATTAGCATTTGAGTTGGTAAATACATTGTAATTAGAAAAATCAGAAGAAATGTAGCAAAACAAAATACCAAAGAAAGAAATAGTAAAACAAAAAAAATAAAGTGAAATAGCCGCAGGTCTTTTGTTGTAAGTTAATGCAACGAAAATACTCAGTACTAAAAAATAATGGCCCAATTCATTATACATTTCGCTAAATTTTGCTTATAATTGGCAAAAAAATAGATTTTTTTGCATTTTCTAACGCAGAGCCTTGCTTTGCTTCTTATAAAGCCTTGAACAACTTGATTAAACCCAATAAAATAAAAGTCCACCTTTCCTTAGGTGCTTTTGCTTGATCTATTGTTTGTCTAAAAAAAACCTGTTTTCTATTGTTGTTTTGCGGATTTATTTGACTTTTTACGGAAAAACTAGAAAAAGATAAAATAATTTGACGTGTTTCCAAAATAAAAAAAATCCCGCTTAAACAAAAAAAGCTAATAAGGATTAACAGGATTGGAATGAGCATAGAAATATGTATTGAAGTACCAAATTGGCTAATGCTGGAAGGTTGATGCAATGTATTCCACCAGTTTACAGAAAATTTAATTATTGGTATATTGATTAACCCTATACAAATAAAAATAGAAGCGACGTCCGCAGAAAACTGTTGAAAACGCAGTGCACCTAAATAAATAAAGAACAAGATTAATACAGAGGTTAAACGAGCGTCCCACACCCAAAAGGTACCCCACATAGGTTTCCCCCAAAAACCCCCGGTTAATAGGGTAAACAATGTAAACAAAGCACCTATTTTGGCGCCGCTTTTGGAAAATAACTGAAAAAGCGGATGTTTTGTTAATAAGAATAACACACTGCTGAGAGCCATTGCGATATAAATAAGTAAACTCATCCAAGCGGCAGGAACATGCACATAGATAATGCGATAATTTTCACCTTGTTGAAAATCGGATGGTGCTACCCAAATACTTAAATAAATAGCCATTGCTGCTACGAACCAACAAAATCCAATGAGAATTTGTGCATAGCGAAAAGAGCATAACATGATCAAATAAGGTCGTAGTATTTCGAAATACATAGGGATTTTATAACGTTTTATCATAAAATAATAATCCATCAATGGCCCAGCTAGAAAAAAAATATGGATCATTTCGTGCTAATTATTAAAACTCGGCAGCTTTTTTTTCCAGCTTGATTTGCTCTTTGCTTTGTGGAAGGAAAAGAGCCAGCCCAGCAAGGAAACAAATTTTCTTCGCTGAGCGCAGCGCTTCAAAGCGCTTTACTGATAAGCCTTCCTAAGATATCTATAATGCAAAAAAAAAATAAGCTTTGCGCTCTGCTAAGCTGGGTCATTCCCATCTGGACCACCTAGGAATAGTTTTCTGACTCAAACTTCACCAAATCCCTGCTTTCTCCCTCTGCTGGAATTAGACAGTGTACAGGAGTCTAGTATAGAAAATAAATACAGAAGGAAAATATATTCTTTTTGCTTCACAATATTTACGATGAGTGAGCCGGTATACCCGCAAAGGCAATCAATTCTATTGGCTTATCAACTTTTGTAAAGTAATTGAAACCAAAATGGCATAAAGAAATAAAAACAAAAGTAAATATCCCATTAATAAAACAACATGAAACCATTCTGTTTCGGTAGAGGCGCAAAAAATGATTAAGGGTAATAGAGTGGGTAAAGTGGTAAGATTTTGCAAACTGTTCCAACTATGAGATATTATTCCAAGAGCCAAACAAGAATGAATACCACACATAAGAGTAAATATCAGACTTCCTATAATAAGGGTGAACCAATTCATTTTGAGTTGATCAAATTGGTATAGAAGTTGTACCACTGGAAAAGTACAAAAAACACCACTTATTTGAAGAACCCAATGACCTACCACTTTAGAAAGTAATATTTTTTGCAAACAATAGCCGCTTGAACAATACAATTCGAGTGTACCATCTTCAAAATCATTCTGAAGAAAACGTTCAGGAAGAAAAGAAAACAATAAACAAATCCAAATTAAACCTAAATGAAAATGACATAAGAAGTCTTTAGAAAAGCCTATCATTAAGGGCGTGACTACAATGTATGACAGAAATAGAGAAAAAGTCGTTATTAGTGTAGATAAATTAAGCAAAATCTGTTGAGAAAAAAGTTTCAGAAAGAGTTTCAAGGTTCTTTTTCTTCATTTTTCAATCCGAAAAAAAAATATATATATTTTTTTTTTAGCTAGGGCCTGCGGCCTCGACTTAAGGGTTTTCGCGAGAGCGGCCAAGCACTTTGTGAAAGAATGACTGTTTTCGTAATCAAATTACAAAATAGATATACAAACTGTATAGAATCATCATTCACTGGAATGGGATAAGTTATTAATTTTTGTAATCTGTTTGAAATATTAGAATCCACCAAAGATACGATAGGTATTTGTAATTGATTGGCTTCAAGTATAGCCATAGAATTTTTATTTGCATTTATTATTACTAAACAATCTGGAATATCGTGTGTCATGATTCCTTCAAAACATTTTTGCATCTTTCTAAAATGTGGAAAAAAATCGAAGGGCGACGATGTAGAGGCGTCTTTCAATTTGGAATGCGCAGAGAAATTCTGAAAGTGTTTTTGTACATTTTTCATATGTTTGCGATTGGTCAAAAATCCTCCAATCCATTTATGATTGATATAGCTCTGATTGGTTTTTTTCGCCATTTGTTGAACTATTTTATTATATTCTGGATCGGTATTTACTAATAAAAAATGGCCTTTTGCACGAATAATAGATTCAATCAAATTACAAGCCCTTCGTAAACAAATAAGTGTTTTTTCTAAATTAATAATAGCCATTTCATTTCTAAATCCGTATAAATATCCTTGAAAATCGGAAGTAGGTATTCGATGGCCCAGATATGCATTTGTACTTAATAATTTTTGAATAACCAACAAACTAGAATTGTACATAGTTCCTTTTTTTTTATTTCTGTTTGGATAGCTCAGGTGGTTAGAGCAAAGGACTGAAAATCCTTGTGTCAGTGGTTCAAATCCACTTCTAAACACAATAGAGTGAAGCTTTATATTAAAGAATTTTTAAGGAGTTCAGATCTTAAGGGAATAAAGTGGCCTGAAAGTTGATCTTGCAGTGGCTTTAAACAAAAGCATGCTTCGTTCTGGAGACTGCTTCACAAAAAAATATATATATATTTTTTACTTATCTTGCTTCTTATCTTCGAGAAAAAGCAACCTCAAAGTTTGAAACAAGGCCTTGCCAAAAGGCCGCGGGCGTTTAGCCGGTTGTTGCTCGCACTGTCTGTGTTGCAGATGGCGGGTAAGTATAGAGGTTGATCAAAGTTTTTGACCTTCCTTAGATACTAAATAGGTGCAGCACTTATAAAGGAAGGGTAGAATTTAAAGTAGGCTAAGGACGGATTTGAACCATCTTTCTAGGATTTGCAATCCAATACATTACCTTTATGTTACTTAGCCATTTTTTTTTACACTAAAAATAAAAAAAGAATGAATGGATGATATCAACATAAAAAAATCTATACTTTTGTGGCTTCGAGCAAAAAGCCGTATGACACAAAAGTATCATGTACGGCTCTGTGAGAGCACACAACAATAGCAGCCCTTCGCCTCACTCTCTAGCAATTACTATGTAATTGCATTCCTCATGAAACTGATTATGAGGGCGCTGCGTGGTCTGAAAGCCTCTATAAGCAGATGAATCAGGTTAGAAAGTAAGTACTAAAAAAAAGAAAAAAGCAACATGAGCTTTACTCAACTATTTCCCCAATATAATTCTAGTTTGAATCCATTACGCGGAAGCGCTATACAATGTTCAGTTAAAAAATTACGACAAAACATGATATTGGTGAATACAGGGCTGAAAACTCCAATAATTTGTTTCCAACATGAGCTGAAAAAAGTGCCAATCACCAAGCAAACGAGGTTTATTTTGGGAATTGAAGATGTGGAAGTGTTTGGTGAACCAAAAATGCTTTTGCCAAAACCGCTAGAAAGGAAATGTAAAAGCAAACTAGTTTGGACTGAACTAACCAAAATTTGGCGAAGTGACCGGAATTTGATCAAAGGGTTTATTTTGAATTCGGTCAAAGGAGGTTATGCGGTAGCAATCGCAGGTCATATAGCTTTTCTTCCAAAGAGTCTTCGCAGAAATCGAAAAGTATTTCATAGTCAATGGAGAATCTTCTCCATTTTGAACATGAACTCAAAAATTGGCAATATCGTGGTAAAAGAGATTGGTGATGGCAAACTAGATTATTCTTCGCCGGCAAAACCGCGTCAAAAACAAGTAAAGCGTTTAGGCGCAAAGCGGAAACACTTGCAAAACACGAAAAAAAACACATTTTTTCATAAATATGAAAAGACCGAAAAAAAAAAAAAAGAAAAATTCCAGCTTTATTCCCATGGTTCTTACGACCCAAAAGACCAAACAAAGCTTAAAGCGCTTAGGCCCAAAGCCTCAAGCCCACACTGAGAAAACGCATGAAAATACGGAACAATCCACCACAAATAACGTATCTAGACTCAGAGATCCAGGCCGGGCAAGGAATGAAATTTTGTTGGTGTGTTAACGCAGAGCAACTAAAGAGCTGGTTTTGAAGAAAGGATGTCATGGAAATGACCAATTAGTGCGACTACAAGCGATTTATCATTGCCCCATATGCCCATGTGGAAACTCGATACCTCGATGATGGAATGGAATGGATAGTAGTGGAAATATTAGTAGCTTTTAGTTAACCTATCTATAAGCTTAAAAAATCTTTTTTTTTTCGTCCAGACTCCGAAACAATCGTGGTGTTCGCTCCGCGTTATGTAGAATACTAATAACAAAAAATATACATATATTTTAATCATGACTCTAGTTTTTTTACGAACTTTTCCCTCTTCAATTTCCCATGAAAATCTGCGGCCCGTTTGGCAGGTTTTGCTTAAAGAGCTTTAACATTAAGGGCTCAAAGAAGAAAACAAGTTTTCTTCTCTCGTGATTCAATAAAAGTATTTGAATCAGCAAAGAAAAAGGAAAAAAAAATGCCTCAACTAGATCAATTTACGTATTTGACGCAATTTGTTTGGTTATGTGTTTTTTATATGGCCTTTTATGTATTATTATATAATGATGGATTACCCAAAATAAGCCGCATTCTCAAATTACGAAAACAGCTGATTTCGCATCAAAATGTAGGCACAGAGCCGAGCGATTACAGTGTTGAACAGGATGTTGTTTTCAAAGAATGCTTTGATACCAGTATATCCTATCTGTACTCAGGTGTATCTGGAGCATCCAAGTGGTGTAACGAAATGGTAAAAAGCTTAAATGCTAATCAATTAAAACAAATGAATAAATCTTATGTATGTTCCTTGGGAGAAATTAGTGTCTCACAAGTAATAAAAAAAAACGCACTTTCAATTATGAGTCCCTCTACTTATCATATCACTTCTTTAGCGTCACGTCAAACCACAGCTCTTAACAAAATCTATGTTTTACGCGGACAAAGGAACACCCTAGTAAATATCAAGAACGGACAAAAAAAAAAGAAAAATACGAATGCGTGAATTTATTATATTTACTATTTTAATTTTTAGTGTTTTAAGTTCAAAACAAATCTTAATTTATAATGAAGAAATTATTGTAGCTTTAAGTTTTGTAGGTTTTGTTATATTTAGTAAAAAAACCTTTGGTGAAACTTTAAAAGCTACTTCTGATGCGCGAAGCGAAGCTCTTCTTTCAGAGTTACAGCAATTGATGAGTTCTCAAGAAGCTCTGTTGTCCGAGTTGAAGAAACAGCATGAATTACGTAGTATAAGTTTGCGTTCAAGTACGCAAATGATTGGAGAATCTTGTATAAATGATCTGCTTACGCGCTGCGCACCTAAGTGCAAACAGACAGTGCAAGCTGTGTTATGCCAACAAGTAGAGCAAAAGTTAAAAACACTGTTAGCTATTCAAGAGCATTCTCGCAGCAGTTTACAAGAGAAGATAGTCACTTGTTTTCGCGAAACAGTTTGTGACGAATTTCGCTTTTCTAAATTGCGAAAACATCAGTCAAAACTAGTTCAACAAAGCATGGTATTATTGAAAGATGGAGTTCTGAAATGAACAATTTTGCACAAAGATGGCTGTTTTCTACGAACCACAAAGATATAGGGACTCTATATTTAATTTTTGGTGCCATTGCCGGAGTCATGGGTACATGCTTCTCAGTACTAATTCGTATGGAATTAGCACAGCCTGGCAATCAAATTCTTGGTGGAAATCATCAACTTTATAATGTGTTAATAACAGCTCACGCTTTTTTAATGATCTTTTTCATGGTTATGCCTGCGATGATAGGTGGATTTGGTAATTGGTTCGTTCCGATTCTTATAGGCGCACCTGATATGGCATTTCCACGATTAAATAACATTAGTTTTTGGTTGTTACCACCGTCACTCTTACTTCTCTTAAGTTCTGCTTTGGTAGAAGTGGGCGCTGGTACCGGATGGACGGTCTATCCGCCGTTAAGTGGTATAACCAGTCATTCTGGAGGATCTGTGGATTTAGCCATTTTCAGTCTTCATTTATCGGGTGTTTCCTCTATTTTAGGTTCTATCAATTTTATCACTAGTGCGCTGTGCGAGGCTCGTTTTCAGTGAGGAATAATATCCATATTCCTACATGTATGTCTGACTCTTTTCAGGAAATACATGCAGCAGGCCAATGCGACATTTTGGGTCAATAATCCATCATGTTTGCGAGCAGTTGGTCAATGGGGAGGCCAAAGGGGACTGCCCTCCTTGGTGGTATCCCTTAAGCAGGGTAGTAAGGGTCAGGTTAACCAACTTGATACGCACTCACTGCCTTGAAAAGGCTACATATCCCAAGCAGAATATGTCGGTATATGTGTGGCAGAGTAACCCAGGAACCAATCTGGGCGAAAGCTTTGACTGATGTAGTGAACGGTCATAGTTGTTGGACAGCCACGAGTGATTCTAACATAGGAACCGGCCTGAGCAATCAAGCAAGTGCGCAAGGACCTTAAACTACTGGAGGCTCTGACTAAGGTCAGGGAGAAAACACGAAAATAGGGCAACCACGGGAAGTAACCGCTTCACATCATCCGGCAAATGATGCGCGGGCTCAGAGGTCTCATAGTAGCAAGGAGAAGGAGACCAACCCAGCCAGAACACAAAGGTGACTAGTCAGAAAACGATCCATAGTTCTTTTTCATCTGTTTTGGGCAAAAAAAGTTACTCTCGCTTCAAAGAAATCAGAAGAATGCTTAACAAAGCAACGCCCGTACATATGCTAAGAAAATGGTAAACAATTGTAAAAATAACCAGGGACGCTATAATGGACTGAGAATAATTCTATCGGATCCTAAATTTCTGGTTTACTGCTATGAAAGTATCCAAGGTAAACCTGGGGACATTACTCGTAAAACCGGCTTTCTTGGCTCTGCGGAAAAAGATTCAGATGGCCCAACCCCTTATAGATTGCATGGGAACTGGTTTTTCAAACTCGCAGATACGTATACGCAAAAGCCGCATCATAAATGAATCTGCACCAAAGGTATTAAAAGATAAGACTATCACATCCAGATATCCATCCTGGCCCATAGGACTGCTTAATTATTGTGGTGTGCTTAATAAAAGAAATCTGCAAAAAGTGATATGGTTCTTAGTTCACTCATCTAAGGTTAAAATCGAAGTTCCGAACTGGGTTCAATAAAATTGGAGCTAAGCTTCAATGCCTGAATACTTAGAGTAGAGTAGCCTGACGATTCCGAATAACTATATATAAGGTTCTACATAATTACAAGGTAAACAGCTACTCCGGATTAGGTTATGCAGGTTCAGTGGGCCGAAAAATTTTACGAGTCTGGGTTAGGCCGGGTTTGTGCCATCTGCGGTGATAGGAATATCGAAATAGATGATGTAAGGACTGTTTTAGACGTTTAAGTAAAAATTTGAATCAGAAACTAAGGTTACCCGGTTGTCCAGAGCATATAAACGAAAGCAGATTCCATTATGTAAAGCTCACCACGAAGCGTATCATGCAAAGGAGCTAGGAAATGCAGATAATATCATACTATCGGCCCCAGGCCTCTATTAAGTAACACATCCTTAGAGACGCACCTGATACAAGAATCTCAGCAATTGAAGTTTTCCGAGTGAGAGCTGTATGACAAAAAATTGTCATGTATGGTTCGGAGGGCAGCATAGACTGACCCCTATCTATTTTCAACATGCGTGGGCCAGGAATGACCATGCATAGATTACCCCTATTCGTATGGTCCGTATTAGTGACAGCATTCCTACTTTTATTATCTCTTCCAGTATTGGCAGGTGTATTTGCGCCTGACGAGGCAGCGATGTCTTGGTCGAATTTGACTATATGCTGGGAACTCTGCAAAGACGATCAGCAGGGAACGAACCATGATGGTTCGCCCTCAGAGACTATACGCCAAACATCTCTGGCCAAACCTACTTTTGCCATCCAAGCAAACAAAAGCGTGGTGCCTATTTGGCCGGCTTGATTTGGAGTGATGGGTGCATGATCATAGTGTTTGCAAATCCTTTGTTTGGCCTCGCGGTCAATGCGGGCAAAAAAAAAAGGATATTGTGCGCATCAAAGCGGGTATAATTAATAAGAGATGAAGATATAGTCCAAACTGCACCACAACGGCATGAAAAAAATCGATTTTTATTGTGCTCCACTGACCAAAAGTGTGTGAATAGATTGGCAATTACCATGTTATTAACTGATAGGAACTTTAATACAACCTTTTTTGATCCTGCAGGAGGAGGAGATCCAATTTTATACCAGCATCTGTTTTGGTTTTTCGGTCATGGGCGTGATTGCGCCAATAGAAAAGGTGGTACGCTGCCCTTACAGCGCTACCTAAGCGAGCACAGCTGTTCTGTGCCTCAAATAAACTATCTGCCTGGAATGCAGATAACTGACAATGAGGTGGGATGTTTGGGAGTCGATGTCATGAGAAAGGTAGAGGATGGTGCCAGAAAAAGAAAAAAAGCCCCTTTTTCTTGTGTTTCAGTTTCAAACTCTTTTAGGTTAGACCCCGGTAATAGTAGAAATCTTTTGGGATTGGAGTGTGCCCTCCCTTCTTTTAAGGGTAAGATTTCACACATTGCGTGCAAGAAGCCTTCGGCCCTTGCCCGGGCGGACCACTCGAGACCCAACATCTTTCGAAAAGACAGATATTCTATTGGTAGCGTTGCCCCTGTGATGGAACTTTTTCCAAGAGCCGAAATTGGCATTTCCATTCAACTGGACATTGTTGATATATCCAAGTCAATGATGCTATCACAGGGTGAGATGAAACGTAAGGCTATACACAATAACATATGGGTAATGCCGAAACGTTTGACGTGGAAAGGGAGACGTGGCTTCTCGAATGACTCAGGATCTCCGGACAGTCTCTTCGCTGAATGGAAGGAGACCCGAAAAAAATCACGAATTATCGCCAGGAAAGCCGCGGTAATCATGAACGAGGGTCGGTGGCCAATGTTGGGAAAAAGATTTACGGCTATCCATCAATTAGTAAAGAACCAACAAAGGATCCTCTCTCTTTTAGCAGCTTCCCTCGGATTCGGAAACCCGCTCCTGAGAGACTGCATGCTTGAAATCTGTACTCAACTAACCTCTCGAATAATTGCCGTAGATAATTTATATTATACTTCCAGAAGTCGAACTCCGGGAGTCAATGGTAAAATACTAGAAGCTTCTTCTCGAATCGGTCTAGTTCGTCGTATCTCCTGGATCAATCTAAAAAACTACAAGAGCTCACCCGTTCGCCATGTTTTCATTTTTGAACCACAAAATGGTGAAAGGCTGCTGAGAATACCCACAATATTTGACAGGACCGTCCAGCACTTGTTCAAACTAGCTATTGAACCTGTAACGGAACCCTTTGCTGACAAATATAGCTTTGGATCTCGAAGGGGAAAATGTGCACACATGGCGGTAGGTGAAATTGCTTACATACTAGACACGAGAAGGCAGAGGGTAGGCAAGGTTAGCAACAATAAAATGGAACAAAATAGTAAAAATTTTGTTTCCAAATGGGTGATTGATGCTAATATAAAAGGCTTTTTCGGCCGAATATTTCACCGATGGATCTTAGAAAATTTTCCCATGCCTAGTAGTACAGAAATTGTACTCGAGGAATGGCTTAAGAGTCCAATTGAATATCCAGGGGAACTTGAAGTCTCGTTCCGCGGTGTCATAAGTCCTTTAATCGCGAACTTTGCCCTGGATGGCTTAGAAAATAGAATAACTAGCGGACACCGGACCACTATGACTGACCCTAAAAGGACAGAATGGACGCAAAAGAAAGGCCATAGGTATCTCTTTAACCAGACCCGAAAAACAGAATCAGTCCGCCTTATCAGGTATGCTGATGACTTTGTCATTATTACTAATGATGAGACATTAGTGGAACGACTTTTTGAAAAAGCAAAAAGTTTCCTGGCGGAACGTGGCCTCCAATTGTCGTCAGAAAAAACCCGCATCTTCCCGTGGAAGATCGGAGAGAGACTTAATTTTATCGGCTTCATATTCCACAATATCGATAGGGCCCGCTCTCATAGCCAAGTCACTTCCCTATGGAAGGTACAAAAAAACTTCACTCGTGGGGGCCTCTACGTGTATCCCAATCCTGATAGGATAATGTCGCTGAAATGGAAAATAAAAAATGTCTTTTCTGAAAATATAGGTCTCTCTCCTTACCAGATGATCAAATTGGTAAACCCAATTCTTCATGGTTGGGGCAACTACTTTGGAATTGGCAACTTTCTTCGTACCTTCAGTCTGCTGGATCACTGGATCTGGCATAGAAGCTGGCGATATTTACATCGTAAATTCTCTAAAACTCCTCGACCCAGACTGGTTTCCCGATTCTATCAGGGGGTGCCCTCTCCCCGTGGCAGACTCTGGGACTTCCATGCTACTTGGACCAAACCCAGTGTAGATGCCAAACGCCATTGTGCTGACGTGGTATGGATAACACTCCTTGCGTCTATGGTAAAAGAAGTTCCTGCTCATATGTTCCGAGGATCTCGTGATCTAGGTAATCCTTTTGTAGATCCAACCCCCTTTGATGAATGGAATCTTCGAATTCAAAGCTATCGGGAAATTCTTGTGGACGGAAAAGGTAACGAATTTAGCAGGCTATTCATCCGCCAGAAGGGTATATGTCCCGTATGCAATCAAGGCTTAGGTTATTTAACTAGCTCTAATTTAGAGATTCACAACCTGCGGCCTTTTTATAAGAACCCGGAAGTGCCCGGTAATGATAATTTGTTGCACAAATCCCTTGTGCACTCTTGGTGTCTTGTTACAGAACATGCTTGAGGATAGACTACATAGGTTATAGGCATATTCCGCGAAGAGCCCAGTGCTTTGAGAGGAGCTCGCTGGGTTCTGTGGGGGGCTTTGCTGGGAACGGCAAAATCTATCCCGATCCTGAGGTCTATATTCTAATTTCGCCAGGATTCGGTATCATTAGTCATATCGTTTCTACCTTTTCAAGAAAACCCGTATTTGGTTATCTAGGCATGGTTTATGCCTTGATCAGTATTGGAGTTCTTGGATTTATTGTGTGGGCGCACCACATGTTTACTGTAGGCTTAGATGTTGATACACGTGCTTACTTCACTGCGGCTACCATGATTATTGCCGTGCCTACTGGAATAAAAATTTTTAGTTGGATTGCTACCATGTGGGGAGGTTCAATACAATACAAAACACCCATGTTATTTGCTGTAGGATTTATTTTCTTGTTTACTGTAGGGGGGTGCGACGTGCTAACCGGAATGGATGACGTTTACTTCGCCATAACCCCAAGAATGGCGACAGACGGACGTATTCTCTCCCCAGTTGACGTGTAGGGGAGACCCCAGAAGCAAAGATGAGTAGGGTGAAAAAACCCCTCCTTTGGGGGCTTCCGAAAGGTGGTACCCTAAAAAGGCAACGGAAGGGACCAAAAGCAACGAGGTAATTTGCACTAACGGGAGGCGAACCCGGTGGACCCCCTACCGGGTCAACGCGTCAACTCTCTCGAAAACCTCGTGCATGGCCAGATAGCAGTAGGGTGCAAGCAATTCAAGGCTCAAGTAAGCCTCGCCCGCTATGAAGGACTTGAGGTTCCCAATCCCAACACCTAACCGGATGACGCCATTTCTGTCAAGCACGGGACAGCAGGTGACCCACCACTTCACTTTGCTGAGGAAGCCCTCGACAAATGAGGTTCAAAAAAATCTTTTTGCTATACCCTTGCTACGCGGGCCAGGCGCACAGGCGTGCGAGGACTTCACTAGTCAGGCGGATAACTGACCTGGTAGCGAAAGAACTGCATTCCATTCTTAACAACGACAAAGGCAACCTTAACAACAACCTTAACCCTTGCAGATTTCTATTTCAAGAAGACCTGATCGAGTTGGCATACGAATGTTTTAATCCATCCCGGGGCGAAGTACGCCGGGCCGGCCCTTGACGGCAAAATAGTAGACGTCAGCAGAAGAAAAATAAACAACTTCGCTCGGAACGCTTCCAATTTCAACAAGGTATGAGGCGCTTCGAAGGAGGCGAACGCCCGCCGCTTACTACAGTGGCCTTCTAGAGAAAAGATCATTCTAGAAGCAATTGAGACAATAGTATATATAAGTGATTTACAAACCGGTGCCCTTATCAAGGTTTTGACCCTTGCATTCATTTGGCCCACGGTCCCGCTATGCCTCTTTTTAAAAAGCTACGTGGCAGATCTATACTGGAGATACCAAATGCCTAGTCAACAAATCCGGACCAGTAAAGATTAACCACATGCGCAAGTTGAGCCAACTCGACAAGAACATCTCACAGATAAACGAGATGATGACCATGTTCAACAGAAAGCGAATATCCCTTTGCAAGCTCGAGCACGAGAGAGCCGACCACGGAAAATACTTCTTCGGGCTCTCTCTCCCTGGTCGAAAAAAAAACTCAAAAGGAAAAGAAGGAAACCGGAGAGGCACCGCAGCCTCGTTCGACACGTCGCTACAGACTATGAAACCCGTGCCAAGTCGTAAAAGAATTAAACGCGCGTGCAAGCCGTATGATGGGAAAACTATCATGTACGGTTACGAGAGAGGTGCACTAAAAGCGCAAAGGAAACCCAGAAGTGGCCCCACGCGAGTAAGGGCACCTACTCTACTCTTACTGGAATAGTATTGGCCAATTCTGGGCTGGACATCGCTCTACATGATACTTATTATGTGGTTGCACATTTTCATTATGTTCTTTCTATGGGAGCTGTTTTTGCTTTATTTGCAGGATTCTACTATTGGATAGGTAAAATAACTGGTCTTCAATATCCAGAGACTTTAGGTCAAATTCATTTTTGGATCACTTTCTTTGGTGTGAACTTGACTTTTTTTCCTATGCATTTTTTAGGTCTTGCAGGTATGCCACGTCGCATTCCAGATTATCCAGATGCTTACGCTGGATGGAATGCCTTCAGTAGTTTCGGCTCGTATGTTTCTGTAATAGGAATTTTTTGTTTCTTTGTAGTGGTTTTTTTTACTCTAACCAGTGAAAACAAGTGTGCTCCAAGTCCTTGGGCTGTTGAACAGAATTCAACGACACTTGAATGGATGGTCAAAAGCCCTCCGGCATTTCACACTTTTTCAGAACTTCCGGTTATCAAGGAAAGCATTTAGACGTCTTAGCAGATGGTGCCACTTAAGCACTTACCCGCTCTGCCCTCTAAGGACCTAGTCCATTGGGGGGGCGGAGCCCCGCCTCGCCCCGAAAAGTAATGGCAAAAGGATATTCATTCGGTAAGAATTTCTAGGTTTCAGGCACCTACTCTGGCCTCTAGCCGCCAAAACTAATTCTGAATTGCCATGTAATCATGGCAATCAATTAATTGGAATTAATACTAAAAAAAAAGAAATTCTAAATAACCCAAGAAATAAAATAACCCACCCAATATTTAGCCCAATATTTATATGTTTATTTATATAAATTTATTAATTGAAGGCCCAAGGAGAAGGCTTGCCTTCGGCCCACATTAGGTGGCGCTATATATGATATGCGCACCTACTCTAGGTCTGGCCTTTCAATAACGTGGCAGCGGCAGCGGAACGCAAACACCGCTGGTAGCACGACTGCAAGCCGTTCCTGCCAACCGAAGCACTGCTTCTCAATCGTGTCGCCAGTATTGATTATACTGCCGGGCTGGGTTTCATAAGATAGGTTGGCATAATTTAGATAATTAATTCATGAGATATCCGTCTCTTGAATTAACTAAGACGGTTACGTAGATTACTTAGGAACTTTAAAATACCAGGAATCCGCCTTCGGCGCGAGGATTAAAGTGGACTCCTGATGAACTGGAGTAAAGAGCGAAGCTTCGAGTAGTATTTATGATATTGTTAGTTTTTAAAATAGTATTTATGGTGTCGCTAGTACATAAGACCTGCGGCCTTTTTTATTCTTACCTTTTCTTACAGAAATAAGTGTGGAAGACACTCACATCGAAAACCAATCGGTTTACAATCTTTCCGACGAAGTTTGCAAGAGTCACAGCGATTGAGGTCATTAAACAGCCTCAGCAGTGATCTATTTTTTCAATAGACTTTCACAACTGTTGATCTCGAGAATAAGCAGAATTACTAGATGCTTAGCAATTGGGCTTCTCTTACAAACTGAAGGACTAGAATAAACTTGAACATTGAGTTCTTACTATCACAATCATAAATGGAATGAACTCTTACAAGTTACTCTGTCGAACAGCTTTCTGGTCTCTCCTAACAGATAGCTATTATTAATTTGATAAGCTATCTGTTTCAAGCAGTTCTTTCCTCAGATGATATACTAGTCCAATGTCGCCATAAGGGGACTGATGAAGGGTGTAATTCCCAGAAAGACTGTTTCGTTTCTGAAATGAAACTCGTCAGAACCTTTGTTTATAGGTTAACCAATCGAAAAAAAAACACTTAAACAACAAGAAACATGCAAAAATCATAGATATTAATTAATTTGCGGGAGCTAAATATGAAGATATCTATATCTATACTGTTATTCACAGTTGCTATCAAACAACTCCTTAACTGCAGGATTGCTGCAGATTGTATAATATAGAGAAGTTAAATAGGTGCCCCAAGGGTAGTTGGTAACACCTACTTAACTTCTCTCTTTTCAGAGCCGCATCCTGCGGCCTTCTCTTCGCCCTTTGATGAAATTTTCTCGTAAAGAAGGCGTTTTGAACTATCTAAGCTTAGATTAGAGGCCCGCGGCCTTTTTTCGCAAAGAAAAAGAAGGGCGTGAGCGCCCATAAAGACATAAAAAAATATATATATATTTTAGTTTAACGTAATTACTCGTACTAGATGAGCCAAGGTACAATGTATATTTTGATGTGCAGATGAACTGCCAGGGGAACTTCTATAAAAACATTTGGGTATAGCAGGACTTGAACCTGCGACCATTAAGTTAAAAGCCTAATGCTCTACCAATTAAGCTATACACCCAAAAAAATATATATATATTTTTTTTTATCATTATGTAATTTAATGATGATAAATTAATGAAAAACAACAATGACTTGCGGGGCCTCTTCAAAGAAATCAGAAGAATGCTTAACAAAGCGACGCCCGTACATATATAGAATAGATGTGGGGGTTATGGGCACAGGCGGGAATTAGTGGAATAGTGCAAATTACATACAGAATAAATCGGAAATGGGCTTACTCAGGATAAGCGTATAAGAGGGCAGAGATAGCTTAGATAGTGTAGGTAAAGAGAGTACAGAGTGTAGGTAACTTACGTAGAAAGTGTAGGTTTATAACCTACACTATCTACATTCTATTCTCTATTCTGGGTCTCTAGCAACTCAACAACCTACATCTATCCTACACCATTTGTTTGTTCCTAAGGGTTTGCCCCTCGTGTGTAATTCCTCAATTTGTTACAGAAGCAGGCGCAGATGGCCTCGGTATCACTGAGGAGGTTGTGGAGTCATTCCCTAAGGGAATCCCTCCAATCCCCGAATGTGTGGTGGGTACCCTGAAATAGGGTACCTATTCCAGTTTCTAAGAGTAGGCACGAACTAGAAAGAAAGTGGAATACTAATTACCATGAAACCGGGAACTGTATCTCTGAAATAGATTCATACCGACCCAGGTGAATTCACGGGCTCCACAAGGTCAATTCCGACTAATTAATGTCCCCTGCGCTACTTGTACACAGCCCAGTTCTGTCTCAGACAGAACGGGGCTTCCCTAAGCAGCGTCTCATTGTAGGTTCCTGTTCAGGAACCTACATGCAACGTGTTACGCATCCATTTCAGTCTAATTTTATTACTTTGGTTCTATAGAATATAGGCTTAGTAGGACTCGAACCTACAATATCACCGTTATGAGCGGTGCGTTTGAACCAATTAAACTATAAGCCCTGGATTCGATATGCTAGTAAGCATATCGAATCAAACGTAACCTGTCGCCTTCGGGCCGCCGCGGGCGCGCAGCCGAGAAAAAAGAATCTAGACCCGCGGCCTATGACCTTTGATCTTCGGTCCCATCGTCAATTAAAAAGCACGCGAAGCTATG